GTTGGTGGTAACTTTTCTGATCCGCCTCGGTATACATCATAAATGCCAGGTCTGCTCGGCTATTATTGTGAATATCCCGTTTTGGTGATTTTACCAGGGGACCCTTTCGCATGCCGAGCGCAGCTGTGCCAAGCCTTTCGATCCTGAGCTTCATGCCTCCAGATAGTACGCAGCGCTTGCTCTGTGTGCGTTCAGCTCTTCGGGGGCCGCCCGAATGATCACTTTCTTTCCCAAGGCACTTCTCACTGGGCCATAATAACTTTTGGGAGAGGTGCTCATAGAAGCAAGCATTTTGCATTGCTCAGTCCAAAAATCTGCACCCTAATTACCTATACAGCATGCGTTGTCTTCGATCCCCAATTGTTTTTCTTCCAGTATGCCTATTGCAATTTCATTTTTGAAGCGAATATTTATTTGATGTTGAATGCCGAGATATTTGTTAGGCTTAATTAGCACTATAAACGGTTCCGCAAGTAGATATTAGTTAATAGTGAAGTGTATTGGAAACATTAAAGACTGAAATTACATGTGGAAAATTAGTATGGAAACGTTAAAAACTGAAATTACATGTGAAACCGTCATACTGACGAAGTCCAGTCGCGGTGTTGAGCTAAGATGTATATGACTTAATGGATCGAAACGTCTTAACTCTTATATTTCCTGTACCAGCTATATTCCTATATCTATACATACACAGTTCTAGTCCTGCCCTATTTAAGTGCTTAATATTACTAGTATGCTACAACCATGTACGAATCAGCTTAATAATTCAGCTTAGATTAAGAAATTTGGATTGCGCTCACTCCCTGCGTAGTGTTTGGAAGATCGGTCTTTGGAAGATACTGTGTGTAATGTTTGGAAGATCGGTCTCACTGATGAAATTAGAATTCCTCTTTATAATATGTTACAAAAAAGAAAGTGAAAATAGAATTTTTGTCGTTGACTATTCCAGAAATAGTTTTGCGCAGCACAGAAATATTAGAATTGAAGGCCTGGATTTAAGTGTTATGTGTAAGAAGACATTTTACGATGCAGCCGTCTGTGTTTCATCCCTTAGCTTGTCTTACCATTGAGCAACTACTGTTGGCGCATGCTAGCTCTTCGAGACTCCATTTTGATAAGGCAGTGCGAATGCAACTTTTTGACAGTCAGTGCAATACCGCGTGGTACCCGCGTACAGGCCCGCCAAAGTTTTTTTGTGGTAAGTCCATAACTCGGGGATCTGATAAGCTAGAACGCTGAAATCTTAGGGTGATGTTCCTCATCCAAGAAGGTTTTAATACACTGAAACCCATCCGTTGGCAACCATTTTAAACATAGTTTGTTGAAGTGGAAAATATGAGATAGAAAGTTGCGCAGAGTGACTGGACACGCATCATGCGGATATGCAAATTTAAATTCCACGCGTTCGTACGTGAATGCAGCGTGCGGTTGGGCGTTATGGCTGGCGTTGTTCCCGCGAGATGTTTAGGGAGTGGTGAAGTACTGGTGGTCCTAATGCCTGCATTTCAGAGAATCTCGTTTCTGCTACGTCAGTGAAATAGTCAATTCCGCCTGTTTGTTTCGGTAGTAAATACGGGTTACCTGGTGTATCTAGCGGGTTAGAACAATCATTAGATTGCTTTTAAAAAACATTAAAAAAAGAAAGCTATCGGCGGCTTTTGCCAGCAAACAATTACTATTGACATGGCTCTGTGGAAAGCATAGGCGGATCCAGTGGGGCTCCTTTTGGGGGGGTGGGGGGTGGGTGAGGAGAGCGAGGAGAGGAGAGGTGAAGGCGGGAGAGTTGGGCTTGTGACCTACAACGACCCGGGGAGGGCAATGAGGGTGCGGAAGATAGTTTTCTTCAGTTTTAGTTTTAAACACAGACTTTTTTAGTGCTGGCTGCTGTACCCGGATGGGGTGAAAGACCCATAGCTCGCCCCTCCCCTGAATCAGTCTGCGTTGGAAAGTCAGGAATCCCCAATGAAAACAGTCCGCTCATGGACTGTTTCCATTGGGATTCCTGACTTTGTCCTTGTATATACTTCGATAAGTTGTTGTATAAACGTGACCGTACTTGCTGAGTTCCTTTTCATGCGTTTTTGCTGTACAGTGCTATAGCCAACAAAAACGCATATTCTCGAGAGGCTGTGTGTGTGTTTGTGTGTGTGTGTGTGTGTGTGTGTGTGTGTGTGTGTGTGTGTGTGTGTGTGT